TTTAATTTTTTTTTTATACAAAAACATGTGTCTTGAGCAATATTAATTTGCAGAAACAAGTGACAACGATATTGCAGCTAGTCCAAATATTTATAAGATATTTAAAAGAAGATTTAAAATTTTTTTTTTTTTTTTGAAATTTGTAAAACTGAGATAATTCGGTGGGAATTTTACACCGCCTTAGTAGACTATCTGATTTTAACGACCAAAAAAAAACTTAAAAATAGCTGTTAAGCCGATATGGACTATCGTTAACAATAGGTTCAGTACTGTAAGCCTCAAATTAGGTAGTAAATATGCATCTACAAGCAGTTGTAACCAAGAAATAGCTGAAGCAATGAATACGTTGTCAACTTATCGGATCTGAGCCGGTGACGTATGTTCAACGCTACAGAGCTCTTCTTCAGCAGTTCAAAAAACTGTATCTATTTCTGTTTAGAACGGTTTTCAACTAGCCTGTTGTATAATAATCAGAAAAAAGCTAAATAGTACCCAAAATATTGGTACTTTTTTGATTTGATGCCAAAGCAAAATTTTTTCATTAAACTGAGGTAATGACGCCGTCTCGTTGCAACACTTATGATGCGATCTCCAAAAAGTTTCTTAGTGCTTGTCAAGGTAATATCAATGAAAAGGATTATTCAGGAAAAGAGTTTATAAATAAAAGTGTTAAAAAATTGCGTCTGAAGAATCCGAAAAGAAAAAAAAAAAGGAGTGGTATAATTACTGCATGATAACGCCAATTGAAATGACAATGAGATTAGTTTTGGTATATAAATCTTATGTTGTATCTGCTTTACTTTTTTAGCTTTTTTTTAAACTCTTTAGCACTTTTTTAACAATCTGTGAGCTACTTGTTGACGTAAAAAAAAAGCAAAAATTTAGGGCGCATTTAAAATGGTCATAACAAAAATTTTTTGATCTCTAAATTGTTGGATTTTTATTTTAATAAAATATCAAAGGTGTTGTCACATCGGTAATTTTGCACTGATTTATGTGGCTCTTATTTCAATGAATAATTTTAGGTGGGAACAATATTGTGACTCGTTAAGGTGAAAAACAAAAAACCGCAGATGTTTATGAGCTTACTGGATATTATTAATAGCATATTAAATACTTTATTATTAGAAACACCTAATTTTTGCTTTATTGAAAGGCGCTTGACACATCAGCTTTATTTTTACAGTGGCTTCAATAATATAACAGTTCAACAAAAAAAATTTCAAAGTCTTTCTTCCTCTGCCAGAAAACATTCAAATCCTGATGCCTTTGTCTTGCCGGTTATGACTCAGTAAAATAAATGTTTAAAACACCATAAGTTTTGAAATATGTGAAGAAGACATCTGCCAAATTGATAAGACTTTTTCTTTAGGATTTTAGTAGTGTAAACTATGAAGAAGCTGAGGCTGCATGCGCTACATTAGGAGCTAAAATTACTACAGCTCGAACCGAGGCAGAGAATACGCGATTGAACAGTAAGCTTGAAATGTTGAAGATTCAAAAAAAAAAAAAA